GGGGGGGGGGGGTACGCATCTTGAGTGTGAGATTTTTTAAGCATAAATACAGCAGCATTAAGATTATTTTTAGGTCAGTCATTCAACTGTTAAATTTTCTTACTTATTGTGAAAAACTAATGCCCTTTGGATTTTTCTATTTGTAAAAAAAAATTATAATACCAAACGCAAAAAAATGAAATTCTGATTCCTCACAATAAAAACCAATTGCATTAGCTAAGAAACAAATGATAAACTTTGCCTTGCCTCATAGTTTTTTCTTGAAGATTCAGAAACTCAGAATGGTAGAATACGATTTCTTAGAATACTCTCCCTCTCTCAAATCTTTTCCAAAGGTTTAATTTGGTGAAGAAGTAGGGGTAAACTGACCATCTGAGTTTAGATTATGACCGATTCTTATTACTGAGAATGACAGTCAATTGTCACATTTTCTAGCTTTACTGGAAACAGCAAATCCATTCTGAAGACAACAGCAAAAAAAGTGAGAGAACACAAGTTGAAGGCATGAGTCATTTTTGGAGGGCTATCCTTTTGAATTTCAACATCAAAGGAGCTGCAAAGGTATAATTGGATGGAGAGCCATCAAATCATATCACTATTTTCTTTCTACTTAAAGACTGTGAAGTCTCAGAGACCCATTATTTACCTTCTACAACATGTTATTGTAGCTGAAGTCTAGCTGGGCTGCTTCTACAGGAATCAGATACTGTAAGCTCCATGTGTGTGTGTGTGTGTGTGTGTGTGTTGTGTGTGTGTGTGTGCGTGTGTGCATTGATCACAAAAACTTAAGCATGGGCACCATAATAAGATTCATCAATAATTGCATATTTGCATACCCCGCTGGCATCAAACGCATTTGTTTATTGCAATATAACTAACCTATTACTAACCTATCTTTAACCAAACTGAGTAGCCTTAGAAGTAACCTGTTCATGAAAAATTCACATCAAGTCTTGTAGTCCATTACAACTAAATTCAGTGTGGGAAATGCCCTGCATATATACTAGTATGGAAAACTCATTTTCTATTTTTCAGTTGACATCTTTGATGATAAACATGCCTTGTCATTGAATGTGTATGAAGCACTTCATAGTTAAAATATTCCAAACTAACTTCTTTCCAGTCATGAAACTGACAATATTTTCAATGTTTTATTAGTCTGCAATACCATATGTGCACTTATAAAATTCAAAACAAATATCTGTCCTACTTTTAGCCTCAAATTCGAATTCCCTACTATGTCAAGCCTTACTTTACTCAATGTAAAATGACAGGAATACAATTTGTCAACATGGCATCCACAAAACTTGACAGGAAAATGTAAATCCAACAAACATGCACAAGGCACAAGGATTTCTGAGTGGGTGTTTTTTTCATATATATATATATATATATATATATATATATATATATATATATATATATATATATATATATATATATATATATATATATATAACTTGCTACTAAAATGCTGTAGCAAGTTGGTTTTACTTAGCACATTTCTTCTGGACTCATCCTCCATCTCACCTAACACATTCAGCTCCATTGACTCTACACTATCGTAAGAGAAGGTTTGCTATTAGCATCAATAAAGGGGGGGGGGGTTTGAATGAACTGCCCCTTTGGCTGAGAAAAGGTTCACTCTGATTCAAATTCTGGTCTGGTTTCTATGCCATCATGGTAAAAAGATCCATTTTCAAGGATGAGATCCCGCCTTTGAAATTGCTGGCTAAGATGAGCTTTAAATTCTATACACTTCAGAAATCACACCACACTTGGAAGCAAGGAATTATCACCTGTAGAGTTGCGTATCTTTATAATGCAGAAATGGCACTAAAATTGTCCATATTATTCGCAATTGCAGTCCAGCAAATATAACATGATTAGTTTGTTTGTGAGACAGAGCTAGTCATTCAATCAATTCAATTATTTTCTTTATATTTAGTACTACTATAATTAGTGCTTAATTCTAGTAAGTCATGCAACCCAATGCTAAAGGCAAACAAGTACTAGTAGCATTCCATTTGTTCCATTTATTTAGAATTGTGTATTTATCACATAGTACAAAGAAAATTAACCTAACCACAGACTCTGCCCACCCAGTGACATCACCTGGTTCTGGACAAGCTATGACAAAAAATAAATAAATAAATAAATAAATAAATAAATAAATAAAAATAAAAAACTGATGGAATACATAGCCTTACATTGTTATCGTAACTTTTTTTTTTTTTTTTTTTTTTTTTGAAGAGCATATCTAAATAATTAATCCTCATTACAAAAACAAAACAGGCGACAGTGTTCAGTAAGGGTCTAGTGTGAGCACAGCTTAATTACGTACTTTTACCTCTGGAGCTGTCACAGTCGATTTAGCCAAACAAGTCTTTATCACACCTGCCTTGCAATATCTTCAAATCTAAACAACTGGGGAAGTTGAGAAAATAACGTTAAGTGGGCTAGATCATGATAAGGTACAATGAAGCTTGTAAACTGCATGATGTACCTGGATGCATGAAACAAGCTGTATCACTGATAGATGAATTAGAAAAAAGATTTTTTTTAAATTTCAAATACTACCAAATATATTTCATATTGGCCTGTCAGTAAGATAATTTGATAAGGCCTTACCCTATTTCTTTTCTTTTTTCGTAGTAAGATATATATATATCCAGTCATTGCAGCCTATTTAAAATGAGTGTAAAAAATACTGTGCTGATTGGCTGAGAGTTGCCGATGACTGACAGCCAGCAATTGGCCAATTACTGGCAGGTGACAGTTCGTTCCACTTTCAGGCGTTTATTGTGGTTAAATACATTTGATATTGTATTTCCTTAAACAGTGAGGATAGATAATATTAACAATTAATTTGTCTTTATCATAAAGAGGAAATTTTGCCTTACTCCTGAGTAATGTTATCACAAAGAAATTAGTCTCCAGTTCTATTAAGTCAATGGACCTCGTCTCATTAGATTGCATTCCAATATCCTAGGATCTCTTTCCACCTACGCCAGTAATATACGAGTGGGAAGACTCGCTCTTGTAATTTCACTTTGAACAACTTAGTCAATACCCTTCCCACACAAAAAAGATATGATACACTACACCTGATGAAATCCAGGGAAAAGGAGAAAGGAAAGGGTGGTCAACCTTTTCATCTACCATGTGATCAGATACAGATATACGTACCTCATTCCTCCTCTTTTGTTTCCAGGGGTGCTTATCGCATTATATTATCTCAACCTGGATGTTCATTTGACACTTTTACAGTATTATCTACGACTAAAATCAATAGATTTGAAAGGCAAAGTGTGAACATTTACATACCATGCTAGTGGTTGGCGTTTTCATTTCAAAATGGCAGGGTGCTGTATCAAGACAGATCTACAGGTGACAGCTTCATCTAGGTTTTCGTCTTCTGAATTGTTTTTACTTATTTAATGATCATTAGTATTATTATTATTATGCTTTGGTTCCTTGGTTGGTTAAAATTATTTAAGAATGGGATTTCATTTCATAGACCAAATCTGAACTTCATGTAATTGCAATCTTGAGGCACATTAATACAAGTATTGGACCCAACTGGGGACAGCAGACTTGACTGTAACCCCCTGACTTTGCAATTATTTATAATTATCAAATGTAATAATTATCTACCCTTTTATATGGAGTAATTGCAATCATTTTGTACCTTAGCAGACATACTGATCCTCTCTTAAAAAGACATAAAATGTTTAGTATATACTGCATTCATTACTGATGAAAAGCAAAGACACTTTATATCACAAGAAGTTGAGGTTATTCAAAGTTATAAACTCAAACAGAATAACGAAAAGTCAGTATCTATTATTCCAAAGTAATTTCTTGTTTTTTTTTACATTTCCCACAATACATCTCATTCAATGATTTAAGCAACTCTTAATAAAATGAAAACTGAAGCAAAATAACAACTGATAAGCGAGATAACACAGATAAGTGGAACAAATTTGTTTTGTGACAATCAAATAACTTTCAAAAAACTGAAAGTTCAAGGCTATTCACATTGCATAACAAAAACAAAATGTCCTTGAACCAGCAAAGATGTCACCCCTAAGTTCTTGTGGAAGTCTAATTGACATAACCAGACCCTGGCATGAACTTAATATGCTATGAGATTAAATTAAAGACTTGTTTGTGCTATGGATTAAGACACGACAAAAAATTTAATCAATGTGTTTTCTACCATCTGATTCATGATCATCCTCTTAAGCTGTACATGAAATACCGCAGCAAATTAAACAACCAATCTGTAATATTTAGAAGGCTCTTCAAGTCTCCAAGGCAAGATTGTTTCATTCAAGTATGGACAAAAAGGGAGTTCTTCATTCCTTTAGGTATTGCCACCACACATATGGCATGTTATGATATGTGTGCCATATTCCCTTGGGATATAAAACATTTTACTTAAACAGAAACCATTACAGTCCCAGCGTTTTCAGATATCTTGTTTTGTTTCAACCATCTAAGACTGCATTCTCATAGATTTTAGATCTATTTATCCCCGTGGGAGTCTCACTAGATTACTGTCAGCTTACACCCCATTTCCATAGATTAGATCGACCTACTTTAGATCGACGTAACTCCCTGGGGGTTCACGCTAAATAGCTGTCAGCCAGGTGGACACGAAAGTTAATTACCCCCTTACAGCTTGTAGTAGGCGGGACGGGCATTTAAGTCGGATTATCTGAAAGTAATCTAGTGAGACTCCTCGCGGGGATAGACCGATCTAAAATCTATGGGAATAGAGCCTTAGCCTGCTTATATGCCTGTCCCACCTACTAAAAGCTGTAAGGGGTAATTAACATCGGTGCATGTTCGGCTGACAGCAATTTAGCGTGAACCCCCAGGGAGTTAGGTTGATCCAGATGGATTGATCTAAATCTGTGGAAATGCAGTCTAAGTAATATTCAGAAAAGAAATATGTCCACTTACCTCTTGGTCCATTATGTTGTTCAAAACCTCTAATTTGTTTTGCAGTTCAAGGGCCTCTCCTTCTGGAAGATCTGTAGAAAGTCAAGTTTGGTAAAGTTATGTGATATACATTGACAGAATTGGATGATTTGTACAAAAACACAATGACAAAAGAGAATAGTAACACACTGAACATTTCCAAGCAAGATCCATTTACTTTTGTGAGGACATTTCACCTACTAAATAACAATACTTTTTATGAGACACAACATTGAAACAAAACATATCTAATTCTAATTTTACATTTTTATTTTGACAACTTCCCTTTTTACTTTTTAAATCTAAATCATGCCGTTTTTTCCAACTGAATAAAATCTTATATTAACCGCCACTTATGTTTTTCATTTTGTTATAAAACATAAACATTTCCCAAAACAAAACACACCAAGGAATAACTCAGTTGTACTGAGCTTTATAACTGACATGGATGTAAGCACTAACAATTACAATAACTTTAATTTTCTTTCTTTTTTAAATTCTAATAAAAATTATTTTATTTGCCATGATATTTATTAACACAAACACTTACATGTAATAGGAAATACATATGACAAAAAATTTAAACTAATTATATGATTAAATGATAATATAATAACATACAGTAAAATGAGTAGAACACATAAAACTGAATTTCATTTTTCAACATATTGCTGTGTTGAGGAAGTGAGTAAAATAAATTTTTAAAAAATTGATAAAATAATCACAACAAGCCTTTTTTTTCAACTTGATCAATGTTTAATCCCTAGTGAGGACTTAAGCAAGTTTAAAGCAAAATGATGACTCTAATTATAAATTGAAGAAAGTTCAAGATACTGCACAGACAGGCAAAGATGATTACTTAAAGTAAAAACACAAAAATGACTATATATAAAGATGAAATTAAAATAAATCACAGAAATTATTGACTGGGGTTATAAAACTGTTATGAAATACAACATACTAAAATTCAATTAAGGTTTATAACCATAAGAGAATTAGTGAGAAAAGTGCAATGTTTTATTCCACTAGGAAAGTGAAAGCCTAGGCTTTCCGAAACCGTAAGTACTTGGTGAACTTATGTTTCTCCGTAGTGCACTAATTAATCCTCAATATATACTGGTGAATACACATGCAAAATTAGACTTATAGATCTAGTTTTATGGATTATAAGTATACAAATACACACAGAGAAAGGCAGTGCTCTTCTTGTTCAATTTTATCTTAAGGCAAAACTAGACAGTAAGTAACCTTGCAGAGCCACAACAATGAATTGCAAACCTTCAGTGAAGGCATCAAGTAATGTAGAAAGCAGAATATCAGTTAGTAAAAATCATGGAGTACTTACCGCCTAGTATGTGCAATAAAAAACAAAGTGAGCCGTAAAAAATATGGTAACTACTTACTGTTAGCCATCACCATTAAATGACTAACGTCATTCATTAAGTAACTGTGACATATACAACTGTGGCAATATATATATTTAAAGGCAATCATTAAATCCTCTTGTATTACATAGGCGAGGAATAACTTTCATTAACAGATTTTAATCTCATAATTGAAATTTGTTAGGAACATGTAAAGTATCCATCAAAGCAAAAAACAACTTGTGACAAAACACTTCCAAGTAAAAAACATAATTTTGCAAAACCTTTTTCCACCTAACAGATGCTACTGTAATATACAGGTTAAGACAGAAGAGAAACTAAATTTTGAATATTATTGTCAAAAATAAATAAATAAATAAATAAATAAATAAATAAATAAATTTTTAAAAAATTAGGCTATTCATATCTTATTTGCAAGTACAAACTAACAGGTTATTTATATAATTACTCATTATCCAGATACCCTCTGATTCTATTAGAATATTAGACTCTCCCAATATTAACTCATGCAACCATGATTTTTCATGCAGCAGAATGCTATGGTATAATACATATGCCCATTATATGCTACCCTATATTTGAAAGATAAGATATAGCCACATGCAAAAGAGAGAGAGAGAGAGAGAGAGAGAGAGAGAGCAAAAGAGAGCAACATACCACAGGGTAGTTCAAATCTTGCATCTATGAGCACACTATTTTCTGTTGGACCTCTGGTTCCACAAATCTCTCCATTTCTGATCACCACCTCACTGAACAGCTGAAGCCACTTGCCATCAGTCTCCTGGAAAGAATTTGTTTCAGTCAGATAGTGATACAACAAAATACAACAAATTTAACTACATAACATATGATAAAATGTCTAAACACCATGCTCAAAGGTTTCCTTGAACTTTATTTTAAACCAAGTATAATTTTTACATTTCATAATTCTGCAAAAAAGAGAATAAGGCTGCAACATAGAAATGTAGGGTCTGAATATCTTCATTTGGACTAAGTGCTTCTCATTCCTACAAGAAGTTTGATGGAAAATGGATTTTCTGTTTTCCAGTCATAACAGTAAAATGTTGTAACATAGCAAAATAACTGGTAAATTCTCTTATCTCTTGTTAACCAAAGTAGTTTTAATAAAAAATTTTCTATACAGTAATATAAATGGGAAAAAACAAAAAATCAGTTTCTTATTATAGGTTTGCATGTCATTTTTTTAACTACTTAAAACAGTGTGCATTCAGGGAGTTAAAAAGCACACACACACACACACACACACACACACACACACACACACACACACACACACCACACACACACACACACACACACACACATCAGTTAGTCATTTAACAAACATGTACTATCTCCACAAAACATGCTGATCAGTGAGAAAATGGGGGGGGGGGGGGGCTGATAGAGCTTTAACAAAATCACAATCACAGTTTGGTGGTTGTTGGTCCTGGGTCTACATGTAGTTAAAATCTATGGTTTTCCAACAGGGGTGATGGCTGTTTATATTACCATACCGTGTTAGAATGTGGGATCTTCATCAGTGGCAGCCAGTGTGTCCCCATTAGTTTGTCCCACAGCATGCCTTTGTTCCACAGCTCTATGATCAGACCAGAGTCCATTCTATTGGTCTCACTGAAAAACAAATCAATCAATAGTGTTAGAATAGTGAAATGAGCACAGAGAGAGTAAAAAGAGTCGTGCAACCACACATTGGTCAAGACCCATCCTGGAACTGAACTGAGTAAATTCAATCATTCCTTGGAGAATTGTATGAGGATAATATGTCCCCTCCATTATTCAGAACACTTTTATCAACAACTTTTGCCTTCTTGTAATACTGAGCCATGGCATTGGTTGTGTGGAAGTCAATAGGGAGATGATTTAAACCTCATTCCACCTCCATTCAGACAATAAACTACAAGTATTTAAGGTGCAACACCTGAAACACCAAGATGGCATCCTAAAAAAATCACTAACTTATTGAGTACATTTTGACATGTTAATTGTTGTTATTATATATGACGTGATTGAATGGCAAATTTAGATGTTACTTGATATCAATTTTAACTTTTAAAAAAACACAAATTCCTGAATTCATTTTTTAATTTTTTTTATTATGAATTTTTTAACAACAAAAGACCTTGCCTATACTTTGGTTGGGCAATTTTGCAGACTTCTGTATTAAGTAGATAAACACCAATCTCACTACTGATAAAATTCACCAACAGAGTATGATCACCTACAACATCATTTCAGTTGTTGAGCAAAAAAAACATTTTCTTCTAATCATGCTAGTATTCCTATAACACACGCTGCCCAAATGGCAATATTCCAGTGTTATCTTTCCCCTTCAAGCTGACAAAAGAAAACAATGTAGTTCAATTGTTAACAGACAAAGGCATCAAATTTTGAAAAAAAAAATGACATTTAAATTGTGGAAAAGATTCACTTGTGAACAAAAATATCATCTTCTACATTTGTAATAACACTGTTGGGCACTGTTCAGAAACTTGGTTTGGCTGGCAATCATTATCAAATAACATTCCAGATCCCAAACAAAAGAGACAAAGTTCAGACATACTATGGCAAAACTGATTCAAAATATCAGGGTGTTATAAGACAAATATTCAACACATACATCATACATATATACAAAAGATCCAATGAAGTCATTTGGACATTTGTGTTCTCGTAGTCTTGACCAACTCTTCCCATGCTTTGGCGTGCATCTACTGAAGGGTGCACTGTTGTCATTAAAGCAAGTATTTCCAAAGGAAAAAGGACAAATATTACTACACTTTGTTTAACTTGATCTGCTGTGGTGGGTAATAAGATGAGGAACCAGTTGATACGATCGCCTTGGGAAGGTTGTCACAATACACTAGATAGAGGTTTTAACAGAATTGCTCAATTACAGAATTCCAGGAAATAATACAATACCCAATTTTTCTTGATTGCCATTTTTCACGTACACCAATCACACTGTCAAAATGAGTTTATAATGGTGATTTTGGTTATCATGACATTAGTATTCCAATTATATGCCCAACTATTGTCACAAGCATCTCTGTTTCATTTACATGTCCCAAAAATCCAACTCATCCACTTTGCCATGTAACAAATAAACTACTTCAACTGACAATGATGACTTGTTTTCATATCACATAAAGAAAACCTTATCTCTTGAAATAACAAAAGGATCTCCCAGGTTTTTCTATCCCTATATCAACTTAATAACTGACTGACTGACACACTGACTGATTAATTAACTAAATAAATACAGGCTGCTAACATTCTTTTGTCTTCCCAATCAGGTCAATGAAACACAGGGGAAAACCTTTCCCCACTTACCACCAGTGGGTGAAATCAAAAACCATCCACTAATAAATCTTTTGTATTTTAATTGACAAAAAAACCCGATCCCGACAGGTGAAATTTTGTGATAAATGACATCAAACAGCAATTTAATCATTTCCTTTCTGCACTGCCTATCGGTTGCTGTGTGATTTTAGCCAGGGCTAACAAAGCTGTTTCCCAGAACAGGTATACACTTTCCCAGGAATCAGATAAGGCCTACTTGACACCTTTATGATTTCTAAATGGGATTTACGCTGCATTGTGTCAGGACGCACACAAAAAATCCCAATGATTTTTAACATTAACCACCTGCATTATTACGATAGAAAACTATACTCATAAAATGCTGCCAGTTTTGTTGCAAACAATGCACTGCCTATCTATAGGGTATTTATCTTTTATCAATTTTGTATGATGTTTTTATAGGATGGGCAGGCACACAAATAGATACAAACTCCCCTTGAGAAATGGACTGAGGCACGTTTAGAGACTTATTGATCAGTCTAATCAGAGCAAAGGCACCAGTTGGTCTTCTTTAAACAAATGCCTTGTCCAGTAAGAAGCCATATTGTACTCTTAATCTAGACAACATCAAAGCTACAAAAATTGATATACAACCACTCAGGCTATAAAGGTCAACAATTCTGGTACCCACGCTTCTCATGAAATACAGCCATTTTCTCATCGTAGCTGCATTTTATGACATTGTTTGGGCTTCTTCCCTCATCATGGAAATTGTCAAGAAGCTCGAAAAATTTCTTGTCAGGCTTCTTCCATGTGATGTAGGTTGTGGTTATGTGTCGTGGGGTTATTTGACACTTCTTGTGAGATTAGCATAGTCGGCAGTAAATAGTTCTGTTATCTGCTCTGCCATGACACAATGACAGGGAATTTATCAACATCAACATCCTAGGTCCCTAGTTAACCTTATAACCTTGAGTTTTTTTTTATCCCTAATCATAGGTTACTTAACACTCCTAAGCTTATTTACACATTAAGGAAAAATACAATAATATACATACATAGCTACTTCACACTTAAGA